GGGGAGGCACCCCTCGCTGCCACCCCGACGACGACGACGACGAGGAGGAGGCGGTAGGACTACCCACGCCGCCGCCGGTCGGGCTGACGGGGCCGCCGCCGCCGCCCACGCCGGCCAACGGGAGGGGCACCACCGCCCGGGTGGTGGCCGCCCTCGCCCCTGGTTCTCGTTCTCGTTGGGAAGCGGGGGCCTCGACTTCGTCGTCCCCGGCGTGGTGCATCGGTGTTGGTGTCGGTGGTGCTGGTGCTGTTGTGGGCGTGGTGGCGGTGGTGGTTGCGGGCTCTCCGCTGGGTGGTGGTGAATCCATTACTGTGAGCGCAGCCAACCGCCACACGCGCCCGCCCAGATGAAGAGAAAAATGGGTCCTTCGAGAAATTATGCGAGAAATCTGATTTTCTGGACTGTCTGGAACTCCGAACCAGCACGTCCGCAGAAAAGAGGGCTTACAAAAACAGAGAGGGCCGGAGGAAGGCTCCCCGCCACCGCCACAGCAGCTGCCGCCTCCTCTTCTTGCCGTGCGCTGCGCTGCGCTGTTCCTCCCATGTCGTTGCCTGCGTCGGGTCCACCACAGCACAATTTGCTGCAGCACTTACACCCGAATCCAGGAACAAGCGAGGGGGGCGTAGCCATCAATATGACCCCCCCGGCCAGAAACGCTACCGGGGGCAAAGCCGCTCCTGGTGGCACGAGCAGCGGCTCGGGTGTGGGGGGAGCGACGTGGCTGAGTGCCTGGCTGGCCCTCAACGTCGGCCTCACCCTGCTCAACAAAGCGGTTTTCTCCTTTGGGGCCTTCAACTTCCCCCTCACCCTCAGCGCCCTCCACATGCTCATAACGGGCATGCTCTCGTGGATATGCGTGCACCACCTCAAGCTCTTTCCCTACAACCCCAACATCGACAGCCGCGGCCAGATCTACCTTTTCCTCTTCAGCTTCATCTTTTCCATCAAGTACACTCCTTCTGCTTCTCTCTTCCCTTTCTGGGCCTTCTGGTTGTGGTATTTGGGCGCGCGCCTTTCGGCCGTAGCGCTGGCCATTATTGGTGGTTTGGGGAAGATGGGCTTTGCAGCGTGCCTCGCTGACTCTCGGGCGGCACCGCAGTATCGTGATGGGTAACGTGAGCATCCAGATCGTCTCCGTGGCGCTGGTGCAGGTCTTCCGCGCCGTGATCCCCGGCGTACGGCCTCCCGCGCGCCACACACTCATGACACACGACACACGACACACGACACGACACGACACACACGACACACGAGTAGTCAGCTAATGCCGTGTGGCAATAATAACGCGAGCAGGTGACGATGGCACTCTCGCTCCTCATATTGGGCAAGCGGTCATCGCTGTATCTCGTACTGTCGATGGTCCCCATTTGTCTGGGGGTCATGCTCACTGTCTCTGGCGAGCTGGACCTCACCTTCATCGGGTACCACCCACGTGCCCCCTCCCTCGTTTTTTGTTTTTGTTTTTGTTTTTGTTTTTCTGGAGCGATTGTGGAGCGGACAAGGAGCGAAAGATCTCATATAATTGGTTGGTTGGGGACAGGCTGGTCTACACGGCGATCGGAACCTTCCTGTCCGCGCTCAAGGTGGTGGTGTGCAACAAGTTCCTCAAGGGCACCTACGAAATGCATCCCCTTGACCTCCTTGCCCGCGTAGCGCCGCTGGCCTTTGTGCAAACCGCCGTCATGGTCTACCTGCTCGAATGGTACGACCGTCGTACCAGCGTAGCTCATCGGGAACATCGCATTTTGGCCGACTGCGGGTTGCTTCTCTCGCTCCTGGCAGAGCTTGCTCGTCTCACCATGGGCTGGCTTGGGTTTCCTCCGGCTGCAGGAACGAGCTTTCCAACGAGTGGTACAAGTATGCGGACGACAGCGTGGTCCTGTTTTCCGTCTTTGGCTCAGGTTGGTGTGCACCCACCCCCGCCCACCCGCTTACACATGGCTCCTTTCCACTCCCATGTTCCCTCACGAACGCAGCTCACCTTCCTGCGCATGTTTGTGTGGTGTCGGGGTGCTCCTGTGTGCATGCAGGGTTCATGGCGTGGCTGCTCAACATCACCAACTTTTTCACCAACCAAAAGACCTCGCCAGTGACGCTCACGGTGGGCGGCAACGTAAAGCAGATCCTGACGATCCTCCTCTCGATCGCCATCTTCAACACGCGTGTCTCGTTCATGGGCGCCCTGGGCATCCTCGTAACGGTGGCGGGTGCCATTCTCTACAGCATCGTCAACCACAACAAATGGTGATCGATCATCACCTTTCTCTACACTAAACAAACAAAAGGGGGCTAAAACTCAACAACAAAGAGGGACGCCCACCTGTTCCAGTTGCGCCAGCATTGCATTGGATACGCTCCCATGAGCATTTCTTTTTTCATCTATGCTGAGCTAGGGTTGGAGCCCAGCTCAGAGAGATGCAAGGTTAGTGTTCTTCTCTAACAACACTGAGAAATTGACAGTACCCACCCAACAATTGGAGTTCCTAAGCTTCATTGTTGACACTGGAGCAAACTCACATTCTAGGTTCCCTGTCAGAAGATCCACAGTGGAGCAATATTGTGGTGGATGTTGTGGTGTTTGACATGATAGCAAGCACCATCTGGGCCAACATGAAGGGCACTTTCATCACCACATGCCCCTTGGTGTCCCAGTCTTGAGTCCTGCATTTACACTAGTGCCAATTTCCTCCCTTATCCCCTTTTCTATTGTTCAGAGGCTTACATTCCTTCTGGTCAGGTGCTCTCATATCATACCACCTGGTTGTCAGTGACATGTGCACATTTTCCATTTTCCTGGTTAGTTCTAGTGCTTTCAACATCACTTGGGAGTTCCACATCTGCTGAAGGACCAAACCCTGCTTTCCCTTTATGTTGTCTGGAATTCTGGCAGAATCCCCGCATGACCGGAGTAGGAAAAGAAACAGAAAAAGAAGAAAAAGAAAAATGAACAAGTTGATGTCTCGGCAACGACAACATGGCGGAAGAGGAGCGGAACTCACCGGCGGGGCTCGCGGGATGGGAGGCGCGTGCCGTGCGGGAGCTGTGGGGGGACTTTGCGTGGGAAGAAGCAGAAGAAGAAGTCACAAGGGGGGACGAGGGGGCTGCTACTGTTATTACATCGCCGCAGCCCCGGGAGGGAGCCGAAGCACTCGTGCTGCGCGACCTGTGCGGTTCAGCCCGCGCCGCCCTCTACCCGCCGCCGCCGCCGGCTGCTGCTGCTGCTGCTGGAGCAGGAGGAGGGGGAGGAGGGGCGTGGGGCCGCGGCGGGTGTGCGCTGCTGGTGGGGCGGCCGGGAAGCGGCAAAACGCGCCTGGCACGGGCCGTGGCGTGTAGCAGCGGCCTTCCCCATGCACTCCTGCATGCGCCCGACCTCTTCCGCCAGAGTACGTTCCTTGCTGCTGCTGCTGCTGCTGTTGCTGCTGCTCTCCCGCTTGCCTCCTCCTCTCCTCTTGTGGCCGGCAGCAGGCTCAGGCACCATTCCCTTTTTTCGGAAGTGGCTAACGCTATGAGGCCACCACGTGGTGGCCATAACCAACGGCTCACCTCCTCGTACGCTTCCTCGTCCTGGTTGGTGTGTCGACAGACGAGGGAGAAGCGAGGCGGGCTCGTGCGCGCCGTGCGTTGGAGGAGGAGGGAGGAGGAGGAGGCCGAAGGCGACGACGC